TTAAAGTGGTGCGATTGCAGTTACATGTGCTTATGTATTGAAAACCCTCCCAGCATGCACTGGGGCAACAGATTGATGGACATAAGCCAGACTTTGATCACTGTTAAACATCAGACAACTGACGATGATGCTGGTGCATGGTGACATTCTACTCAACAAACATACAAGAAACTTTTGAATGATCGGAAATCTGTGAAATTAAGCATTTCTTAAAGCATTAGTTAGTGTTAGCTAAAACCTATCAGTGCTTAGTAGTGCTAAAAGCACTAGTGCATTTAAAGCTGCATGAAAAGAAGCATTTTTACCAGATACAGATCACATGTTAATCACTGGGGGAAATAGGTCCTAAATTACCAGCTGCTGGGAATCTGTGTTAGTCCTGTAACACACATTAGTCCAGTGATCTTATTTTGGACTGCAGACTTTGATAATGAATGGATGCTCTCCTCATGGCATCTCTGGCATTTTAAAGCAGGCAATACACTAACCTTCTTCATCACATTGTCACCTTCTGACACAAATATCACCAACAACAGGACCAGGTCAAAACCTATGGCTGTACTGTGTGTGGTCAGTGTGTCACATTGAGGACAGAGTTGAAAACTGTTGTACTGATGGAAGCAACTGCATACGAACACCCTCTGATCATGTGACAGAAGCCAGTTCATTTTGAAAGAGTAACAGCCAATGGGTACACCCCAACACTCAGTCAGTCAGGCAGTCAGTCAGGATCAGTGTGATGACACATGTACACTGTTGTGACCATGTCTCTTGGTAGTTTTCATTGTGGACTCTGACAGCAGGATTCTGTGTCTCTCCTCCTGCAGGTCTCTGGAGTCCAGGGGCTAGCTGATCCAATGCCTGCGTCCACCTCATTGTCCAACCCTCCTGACTCCTCTGTTCCTCTGGGAGGAAGACTGTAGATGAGAAGCAAAAAACCAAAGTAGCCTACCAACACCTGTTACCTGAGATTCTCCATGAAGCTGCGGTTTAGATTCTCTCCCTCCTCTCCCTGTCTCTTAGAGAACGCTGAGTGAGCTTGTTGTCATGCCTGTAATACACCGTCCCAGTGTGAAGTCATCCTCAGCATCCTGTTGTATAAGGGCAACACAATGATCCCTTCAGTGTGTGTCTTAACTAGAAGCCAGTGTTGTTTTACTGTGTGGACACTGCAGTCCTCAACAGTGTCTGCAGTTAGACCTCAGTAGCAGAGGAAACCTACAGCCTTCACCATCATTAACTCCATCAGACGTCCCAGCTAGAGGGCTAACCATTAGCATCATGAAGACCTCCCCTGGAACCAGTATCATGTTAGTCAAAGACTTGTTTTGTATTCTTTAATTTGTGACCTGTAATCGTTTAGTTACATAATTATTCATCAAATAAAGTCTGACTGTGTAAACTGAATACTGCCTCCCCCCTCCCATACACACAGCTGAAGTTTGCTTTCTCATAAACAAGGAAAGATCTCTGTTAATATTTATAATAACACAGTAGCCATGACAACAAGGGTCTAAAGAACTTTTTTTATTCCTCCATGCCAGCGACAGTCAGACCTGGAGGCATATTTTTTTCGTGTTGTTCGTCTGTCCCATTCTCCTGGACACGATATCTCAGTAAGGTCTTAATGAAACTTCTTCAAATTTGGCACAAACATTCACTAGGACTCAAGGATGAACTAATTTGATTTTGGTGGCTAAAGGTCAAAGGTCAAGGTCACAGTGACTTCACAAAACATGATTTTGGACTTGTGAAAACAATATCTCAACAATTCCTCAAAAGAACTTCAAATTTGGCACAAACATCCACTTGGAGAGGGAATTCCATTACTCACAAAACATGTTTTTGGCCATAACTCACAAATTCATACACTAATTATAATTACACAATTTAACTCAAATGTCTATAAGGATAAAATGAAGTGATGACATTTTATATCCAAATGGTCAAAGGTCAACTTCACTCTAACTCTGTATCTATTAATTAGTAATTATTAATTGCTTATTTGTTGGCTGATCAACCACAGATTTATTCAGGAGAAGAAATCCTATAATCACAATATCAGCCGACTAAAATGTAGATAGATAGATAGATAGATACTTTATCCCCCATGGAAAATCCATGAGTCCATTTGCTCATTGTTGATAATAATAAAAAGTTAATAATAAATAAACAATAATAATAATTAAATTAGTCCACTTCCTTTGGCTGAGGTGTTGTATAGCCTGATGGCAGTGGGAACAAAGGATCTCCTGAACAGTGAGATGAGACGTTTGAGTTCTTGTCACTCCATTCACTGAAGGCCATCGTCAGATCCCTGTACTCCTCTTCCTCCCCGTTCCTGATACGCACCACAATAGCTGTGTCATCTGAGTATTTCTGGATGTGGCAGGACTCAGGAACGGAGCAGAACAGTCTCCTGTGGAGCCCCAGTGCTGCTCATCACTGTCCCTGAGACACAGTTACCCAGCCTGACATACTGTGGTCGTCTTGTCAGGTAATCCACAATCCAGGATGTGAAGCAGGGATCCACCCCCATCCCTTCCAATTTGTCTTTAGGGATGGGGGGTTGGATGGTGTTAAATGCACTTGAAAAATCAAAGAACATAATCCTCATGTAACCACCTGGCTCATCCAAGTAAGAATGGGCCAGGTGGAGCTTGTAAAGGACGGCATCATCCACTCCAATATGTTCTTTGTAGGCGAGCTGCAGGGGGTCTAGTGCAGGTTCAACCTGTGGCCTCAGAAGGTGGAGAAGCAGCCGCGCCAGGTCTTCATGATGTGTGATGTGGGGGCCACCAGTCTGTAGTCATTTATCTCAGCCGGTCGTCCTACTTTAGGTAGCAGAACAAGACATGTTTTCCACAGGACCGGGACCCTCCCTGTTTGTAGGCTTAAGTTAAAGATCCTCTGAAGAAGCTCAGCCAGCTGGGCTGCACAGTCCTTTAACAGCCTCGGACGCACACCATCTGGGCCTGTTGCCTTTCCAGGACGTAGCCTCTTGAACTCCACCCTCACCTCCTCCGCTGTAAAGGACAGGAGACCTGACCCCAGTGTGGAGGGAGTTGCAGCTGCAGTGTCAGGTTGTGGAGGAGATGCTGTAGGAGAAGCTGCAGCTGAAGCAGTGGGAGAGAGAACCGGTGAGGCTGTGTCACACCTGTTGTAGAACAGGTTGAACTCATTGGCCTTGTCCACATCACCTGATGTTGCCTGGCTGTTCTTCTCTTTATAGCCAGTGATGGTCCTCATCCTCTTCCACACCTCTCTGGTGTTGTTGTGCTGCAGCTTCCTCTCCACGTTCTTGTTGTAGTCCTCCTTCTCCTACTTTAATCTCCTCTTCAGCTCATGTTGCACACACCTGAGCTTCTCCCTGTCTCCATCCCTGAAGGCCTCCTTTTTCTGCTTGAGGAGGGTCTTGGTGTTACTGGTGATCCAGGGTTTGTTGTTTGGAAAGCAGTGTACAGTCCTTGCTGGTATTACAGTGCCCATACAGAAGTTAATGTAGTCTGTGGTACATTCAACTATTCTATCAAGGTCAGGGTCCTTGCTGCTAACATTTTCCTGTGACTCCAACAGGACATTCCAATCTGTGCACTCAAAACAGTCTTTTAGAGACTCACTGGCCTCCGGGGTTCAGTTCCTGAATGAGCAGGTGGTTGCAGCCTGCCTCAGTACACAGGGCTTGTAGGAAGGCTGAAGAAAAACCAGATTATGATCTGATCTGCCAACTTATTTACATGAAAAAAATAGAAATAAAATAAAGAAAACACAAAAGAAAACACTAAAGCATAATCAAGCAGTCAAATTGCATAAGTATATTTGATATTTCCAGAAGATCTGTAGTGTCTGAATAATCTGGTTAATCTCTTCAGTGTTTGTGTCCACAGCTCAAAGATAGTTTTACATAAGAAAAAATAGAAAGGGTAATAGAGTATGTATGTGTGTGTTTTCATGTCACCTCAGTTTTTTTTTCCCAGGTCATTATACAAACAAAAACAAGTCTTATTTCAGTTTTTCTTGTATTTTGTTTTGGACTGTTCCTGCAGCTCAGCATTTAATCACTATAATCATCCATCATAATACAAACACATCAGTTACAGCTCAGAGGGAAATCAGGGGAATGAAACAATTAACAGACTGGAAACATCTTTGATAAAACAGGACAACATGCTCATGAAAAATAGGATAATGTTCTCTTAAGTAGAAGGTTAAGAAAAAGTTAACCATCATCATGGACATCGTGTCAGGTTGCATGGAACTAATGAGGGCCATGAAACTTCAATCCAATCCAACAAAGGTTTATTCTCAAATAATTGTTTCAAACATGCTGGTTCTGAAAGGACACTAATAAAGAGTAAGGATTAAATTCAACACAACAAATCAACGTAGTCTCATTATGTATGTCTTAAATAAATAAGGATAAATAAAGTCCTTTGAGACTAACATAGAAAATTATAAGAACTAAAGAGTAACAAACTTCTCCTACCAGAAACTGCTGCCCCATGTGATGGTGAAAAAGAGTGAAGGAGTGGAGTGAAGCCCTAAAAATAACCTTATTATTGTCCAGGTGAACTCAGTCAGGTAAATGAGGGGCGGAGGGTGAAAACAAGAGCCAATCAGTGATGAGAAAAGGAAAAGTGAGATAGGTGAAGAAAGGAGGAGGAAAATGAAAGAAAATAGGGCTCTTTACTACAATTTTCAGTCATTAGCCTATTATCCAACAGGTAAACATCACCTGGTTAAACAGGAGTCAGTGTCAGTGCAGTGTTTTACAGACCTACTCAGTGTAACAGTTTATTATCTCCTCCCAGAGGAACTGGATAAATGAATCAAATTGAACTGTGTTTATTTAAATTTAAAAGAAGAAGTAACTGACTCTAACTGTGGTCCACAGTCCAAAACAGCAGGCGGCGGTAACGACTTTAACGCTGGTTGTCACCCGCTACTAAAGAAGAAGAAGAAGGAGGAGGAAGCGGAAGTGCCTGAACAAGGAGGCGAGTTTAAAAGAGAAACGGATGATTTCCATTAAACGCTGTGATAATAAAAACGTCTCCATTATCCGCAGAGAGAGAGCGAGAGAGAGGGTGGTCTCTGACCGGACAGGTGACACACAGGTAATGTTGTGATACCCTGACCGGGTGTCAGTTTATGATTCCTCCGTTAGTTTCCAGAGCTGTGCTGTTCCCGCTCCTGTGTTGTTACTAATTTCTCTACGGTTTCATGTTACGGGATTTTCCCGGTTAGGTAAAGTCAGGTGTTTCATGTCCGGGTCACTCAGCCAGTGCAAACGCTCTGACCCGTGAACACTGTGAAGATCCCGTCAAACAAGGAAATACCAGCACATTTCTTCAATGTTGGCGGCTTCCAAGCGCCAATGACAAACGGTCTACTTGGAAAGAGTAGAGTTTTATGGTTGTAAAATGTCTTTCACTGTTGTAAATACCTCAATACTGGGGCAGATAGGCAAAACATTTGTGCATTTTATGACTACAGCATGAAAGTTTCAGTTTATAATCTACAAACCCCAAGGTTTTATTTCAGACATGGAGGCAATTTGTATTTTACATCTGGTAACCTTGAGTAGTAAATGACCTCAGCATTGCCTTTTTCCACTTTTTGCCCCATTTCTCCATTATAATCATGTATATCTTATAAATATGCGTATTTTTTGCTAGAGACGTTTACGGATGTATACAGTGATATAATGATGTGGCTTTATGGTCACTCTAAAGCCCGTGGAGAAGTAAATTAGTTCTTAGAAGGTTGAACCAACTCTGAACTGGCACTGGGTTTGCGTCGGTTGAAAGGGGGTATCAGCAGAAACCTTTGACTCACGACCATGTCAGTATTTACTCAGTAGAAACCATAGTCTGTTAATAAAGATGGATGTAGCCTCTGTGACGTCACCCACAGGTTTTTGATGAGCGGATTTGAAGCTCAGAGTGAGTTGCTGTACTGTTGACATCTCGACAGTGACTGACTCTGCCAACTCCCAGCCAAAAATGGACAAAGAGGTGGGTGTATGTGGAGCTTAGACTTCAGTGCACACCTGTCACTCGGAGAGGCCACGCGCAATTATACATAGCTTTGAGCCTTAATAAAATGTAAACAGGTGAGTTATATAACAGTTGTCAAGAAGGAGGAAATTAGCTCTAGAGACCAAAACTGTTTGTTTTGTTCCAGGCTGTAAACATGTTTACTTCTGTGGTAAAGTTGGACATTTTAACATGGGAGTCTTTGGGGATTGACTCACTGTTGGAGCAAGACTTTAGTGGTCATTAGAGGACCTGCAGATTTTGGTACTTCAGTGTTGGCTTAATTTTTCAGCCTTGGAGGTTGCCGCTTGGTAGGAACCCAGTGAGGCGAAGCCGTGGCAGTGTTTAGCAGTTAGCAGCTGGAGGACAGTTTAACTGAGGCTCGCTGTCCGCTCTTACCTGGGTAACTAGTTAGCCTCGGTCAGTACCTTTTTATTTATTTATTTATAATTGTTTTTTTAAAAATATATTTACTTTATATGTCCTCTCTTTGATATATAGATGAACTTAAATGTTGATAATGTAGTGTGTGTATGTGGCTCTCTGGTGCTGTGATCCTACAGCATCTGATAAAAGGTGTTTGTGTTAATTATATTCAGCTGTGATGGTAATGGTTCTTTCAGCAGAGACCCATTTGTTATTAACAAATGTAAATGTTCTTTAAGCAGCATTGCATTAAAAACATGTCTCATTTCTGTTTTTTCCAGTCAGGATGAGTTCCTCCTCCTTCCCCTCTCCTCCCCCCTCTCCTCACCCTGCACCCCTCCCTTTCGCATCCTCCTCCTCTTCTCTGACTGGCTGTCCTGAACTCGACCTGTCTGTCACACTCAGCTTCACCCCCAAGACCAGCCAAACACAGCTGAAGCCCTGCCTCCAAGGACAGACAAGAAGAAAGAGGGACACACAGGTGATGATGTCATCCTGTAGTCCCGAGGCCTGTACTACAAAGCAGGATCTGAGGTTATTGTGGTAACTTCAGGTTTAACTCTGGCTTTTCAGTCCTACGATGGTGGTTCACTAGTTACTTGTTGTAAATCACCATGGTAACTGATGCTGAACTCCTAACCTGCTCCTATGCAAGTTAACTTCAGAGGACCAGATCAAAACCTGTCAACAGCCAAACTACTGACCAATCAGATACCTGGAAAAACGGAGTCATCATTCCTACAGGATCCTGACAGGAACAAGAGTTTACAATAAAGTGATCAATAACGATGATCAGTAGACATTTATATAAATCAGTGGAATCATTTGGCTGTTCCAGACCAGCATGTGTGCACTCTCTGTTTTAAAACAGAGCTTGCATGGAGGGTTTATCACACTAAATAAATATTTCATAACTATTATAGCTTCATTTTAATTGAACAAAGACTCTTTAATCTGACAGGATTCCTGACAGTGATGATGATTTTACTCTCTTCTTCATCACTGCAGCTCAGAATAACATGATCAGACTCTGTGATGATAACTGGAAATGAAACTAATCCTCTGATGTCTTTTAGTAGAAAAATTATCCACACACTGTTGAATATTTCCATGATTATAAATTTGATTTATAATTTTTATACATTTCAGTCAGACTGACTCATCAGACATCAACTACTTCTCTTTTCTTTCTCTCCTCTCTGCAGCAGAAACAGTCTGACATGAACTCTAACTGTTTTATCTGCTTCACATGTTCATAACATTGTTCACTGACTGAAGAGAAAATACTGAGTAAGAAACAATGATAATTCATGCACTTATTTACCATATATCCTTAGTCTGACTTAAATTATATTTTTAAATAATATTTTTTTATTCCAGTCATGTGATCATATTGTTTACATTTCACCTTGTTGAATGTCACTTGGTTATAACAGAACTCATCGGCAGGTATCAACGTGTCATATCATATTAAGAACTTCATTCATGGTTCATATGATGTTGCTCATAATTAACAACTCTTCCTCTTTCACATGAACGCGTCCGTAGCCAGATAGGAAAACCCAGGGTTAACTGAGCCAGTTGATAACCTGCTTCCTAGTACAGGTTATCCAGGACGGCCAATATTAGGTTTAGTTAACCCAGATAACTAAAAGTTATCCTGGGTATGTTGAGCATGCTTCGTGCAGGCGTGCGTGCGAGAGTATGATGATGATGTCATTCTGTGTCTCCTGAAGTTGTGTTTTGAAGAACCTGTGGTCGTCAAGGTAACACCGGAGCCTGATGTCCCAATGAGCAGAGATGCCCCACCTCAGCAGCCAATCAGAGGTCAGAGGAGAAGCAGAGGATGTCACCATGGTAACCACAATATGATCTATACACACATATATATATATATATATATATATATATATATATATATATATATATGTGTGTATATATGTTTCGATCTGAAAAATAACCCCAAAAATGTTTATACTTGAAATAGTTTCTGAAACAACAAACAATGAGCTATTGGAAATTTAATCAAGATCAACATGAAGAATTCAGTAGTGATTAAATTTCACAGTGAAGTATTTAGTCGTTTGTAAGATTGATATCGTCATGACAATTATTTGCTTCCATGACGTAAACAGTCATTTTTGTTAGCCATTTCACTGTATCCAGCTTTTTTAAACATGTAATAAAATGTGTTCTTGTAAAGTTTAAACCCTCTCTTCAGACACAGAACCATGTCTGATCAAACTGTCCTTCACATGAAACTGAGGATTGTTTCAGTAATGCCAGGTTTCCTGTTCTCTCAGTCAGACTGTCTCAGTGGTCACTGATAAATGTAATGATCAATAAAAGCAGATTGTTTTTTCCTCTCCTCTAGTTGGTGGAGCCCCCAGACAGTCAGTGGAGCCCACTGCTGCAGCAGCATCCAATCAAGATGTGGGCTGTCTAGGCAGGGCGGAGCTAAACACTACTCTCGCTCTGAAGGCAGAGCTTCAGTCGCTGCAGGTTTGCACTTTTTCTCAATAGGCTATAAATCATCACCAATCCATTAACAGCAGGTTACCGCGGTAACCTGTTTGTTGTCCTGTAGGGTGTGGAGTTTAACTCCGACAGGGCTGTTCAGGAGACTCTGCAGAGGTCAGAGAGGACCAAGAACCTTATCAACAGCAGAGCTACTGAAGGTAACACAAACAATTTCATTGTAATTTTTCCCATTTCAACTTTCTCATTATAACCTGGATCATTCCAAAATGAATTTACAAACAGTCTCTCTCTGTCTCTCTCTGCAGTAGTGAATGTCTCTCGCTCTCAGCTTCTCTTCACCTCACTGGTCAGTGTTGAAGTGCAGAAGGATCAGCTGATCAACCAAATATTACAGGACAGGCGGCCCCTGGCCATGCGACCCCGCTGCCACGACAGCAAGGCAGCAGATGGCCCCTCCCCCTTCCTCTTCATGTCCTCTGACCTGCTGAGACACAAGCCCCTCCCACCTGAGGAGGTGCTTGTCAACTATAAGCCCCACCCATTACCACGGCCCACCCTCTCGTCCTTTGACCTCTACAAACGACAGATAAGGTGGGAGGCCACGCCCTAACCCACCCTAAGGAGAGCTGTGATCGGCTGGAGATACTGAGTTCTTATTGGAAAGACTGTGTGATGACATTAATAATAATTATCTAATCAGTTTTTTAATTATTGAAATCTGTTTTTATTCTTGTAAAGTTTTGTTTTGAAAATAAAGTATTTTCAAACACTTTCACTCTGTGATGATGTCATGATGATGCTCTGCTCAGAACATCAGAGGGATTTCTTTCTGAGTGGTGCATTCCTGGGAATAATCACTTTGGATCTAAAATGAGCAGATCTGAAAATATGACTTCCCAAAAAAAAGTGGTCTCTTGCTTCAACTAGCCCACCATGTGGGGTAAGTTGAGCCACCTGTGGGTAAAATATAGGTTACCATTGACAATGCTGAAGTGAAGCTGAAGAATTTCACCTGCTATATCAAAGCAAGACAAATTCAACACAGAATAACTTCTTAAATGTTTTAATTAAACATAAAGTTTAGAACTTCAAAGACCAATTTTCATCAACAGCCTATTTCAAATTTTCAGAACAAAATCAAGTTCAAAATGAACAATATTAACAGAGTTTTTTTCAAACGTGTGTTATTTTTCAAGCAAGAATCACAATTCCTTGAATGTGAAAAATGTATTTGGTCTGCTAAAAAGTTCTGTGAACTCAAAAGTGCTTATCACTTCTTCTAAGGGCCTTTGAGGAAAATTGATGTCTCTTCAAAAGTGTGTGGTCACATGACCAATTTTGTCTATGGTTGCCTAGATACCAGGGGTGGCTCAACTTCCCCACAGGATGAAATCACCCTGCTCTCTCCTACGTGTCAGTTAAGATCAACAGAGTAACCACACTGTTAATGAGAACACCAGAACGTTTTGGGTTGAACTTCATCAAGTGGATAAAAACAGTAATAAATTGTAGGTAATTGTGAATGACAACCTCAGAGACGGATTCAACAACAAGGCTGTACCTTCTCTGCTCTGCTCTGTATTGTTATATAATTATTACTATAATATATGTTATTGTTATATGTTGTAATAATAATAATAATAATAATAATAATAATAATAAATATAGATATGGATAAAATTAATTATATTATATAAATTATTATACATACATACATATACATACATATTATATACTATAAAACAGAGGGATATCACTGCAGGGAGGTGAGTGTTTATGTTGGAAAAATTGTGATACTTTATGACTAGATAAACATAACTATCCTAAAGAGAAACTGTATTGTCCTGGAGTGAATTTTTCTTATTCTGACATTGTGTTTGTTTTCAAGACAGGAGTTGTCAGAGAGGAGCGGAGTGACCTTTTCTGTTCTTCCTAGCTACTGCACCCACACATTAGCTATGATAAGGCATGAATCAAGTCTCTATTGTGTGTATCTCATATCAGCAAAGATGTGAGGTTACTCTCATATGTTCTGTGTATAAATCCTGTGTGAATCCTGTGTGTAACTTGTTCCCTTGATGCAAGAATAAATATCCTACTCTTATAATTTTCAGACGTTGTTCCTGAGTTTATTTGATAATTTTCCTAACAGTTTATAATTATCAAGATGAAACAAAAAGCAAGAAAACTATCAATGTTTGGGAACATGGAGCAGGTGGAGAGATATGATTGGTATGTTAGGTTTATGTTCAGGTCCTAGGTGGATATATTAGCTGTCTCTTTTTGACACCCTGAGGGCTATGGGCTGTATAACTGCCCCAAAAGTTAAACTTTGTCAATAAGAACATTGGAATATGGAAAACCAGAAGGATTATGGTTATTAATGCAACGTTACAACCTTAAGGATATGAATATATAAAGAGGGAAACAATATATAAATGTATAGAAGATTCCTCTTAAATTGGACTTTACATTACTGTACCATATGCAATTTATTATCTGAGACAAAAATATTCTGATTTACTCACCCTTTGTGTTTCGTGTCTTTGTGGGACTTTAGAATTCCTAAAGCTGAAATAATGTCTGAATATTTTCAATATATTGTGAAATGGTCTAAGAAGAATTTGGAGCATCAAAACAAGGAGGATGTAAATAAAACCCCACACTATAGAATACATTAAAGAAACCTTTCAATATCAAATGAGGATTGGCTAGATGTGTGTAAATTCCAGTAATACACCAACTCTTACGTGTGGTGGATGGGGTTGGGTGGAAATGTATTATTTGTTTCTTTATTACACCAAAGCAGAAAACACATTTTACCGGAGGGGATGCCAAGTGTTGGAGACTATTGATTTCAGGAAGCAAACCACTGGCATATATTTTGGGACTGTCCAGTGATTAGACCCTTCTGGGCTGCTATTCACATAGCACTAAAAAGTACATTTGACATTGATCTGCCCTTGCAATTTTCCACACTATTTTTAGGAGATGTTGATTTTCAGGCAAGATGATCAGATGAATATATGTTTCATATTTTGATTTCTGCTTGTAAAAAAGGGCTCACAAGGCATTGGTTACTTCCTGAACCCTCAATGATACAGGGGTGGCTAGATAAAAAAATTACGTTTTCTCTCTGTCTGAAGAAAACTGAATTTATTAAACTGTGTAACAAGTGGATAAAATATGTATTAAGGCCCTTAAGGGCAGATTTTGTGGAAGTATTGGATGGTTGACCCTGTAATGTTATTTTACTCTGACCTCATTGTTTATTTTATTTTATTTTGTTTTATTAGGCTATATAATCTTCCAGATCCTCCTCAGACATAGTTTCCATTGTCCTTGTGTGCACACTTTATCTCTCCCAAACTGTACAAAGTTCTTAAATTTTAAAATTTTAAAAATGTGGATGGCATAGGAAATATAAACTGCTGCCCCAAAATAAAGAATTGAAAATAAACAAAACAAAGAGGATGTTAAAAACCAATAGTATCAGTATTGTATCAGATGTTAGTAGAGAAGTAAAACAGACAGTTCTCACAACACAGATCAGACAAGAAAGGAAAGAGGAATAGACTAAAAGATTTTAATTGGCAGAAACTCCTGTTTCGGTCTATTACATATAGGCTATATACTGTATAGGCGCTGTAGAACACAGAGGTTCAGGAGATCCTTTGTTCCCACTGCCATCAGGCTATACAACAACTCAACCAAAGGAAGTGGACTAATTTAATTATTAATTTGAATTAAATTAAATTATCATTGTATATTATTTATCATAAACAATGTGTCATGTCCTTTTGTTGTTTCGGTTTGGTTTGGTTTTGTGTGTCACAGTTGTGTTGATTATGAATTAGTGATGTGTTATAATATTAAGCATGTAGAGAAGAACCTTCTGATCTTGGTGACATTGATTTCTCTAATCAAGACCAAACTGTGAAATTGTCATGATTTACCCTGAGACTATTACTGTTGGCTTTTGGACTCTTTATGTTTGGACCTTTAGTTGATTTCCTGTTTTTATTTTGAAATCCCTTATGTGTGTCATGGTTATTTTACTTCCTGTCTTTGTCCTGTTTCCCTCCTTTGTGATTGTCTGCCCTGTCCTAATATGTTTCACCTGTGTTAAATCACCATCGCCTCCCTTGTGTGTATGTAGTCTCTGTGCTCCCTGTTGTGTGGGTCAGTTCGTCTGTTCAGTTTGGATTTGTGATGTGTCCCTGAGTCTCTTGCACCTGTGCTCCTATTGTTTTTGGATTTTCTTAATAGTAATGTCAATAGTAAGTGGGAAAATGACGAAGACACTATTGGTGTCATTTTAGCTGGTGCAGAATGCATTGGTCAGTGGAAAGACAGGGCTTGCATGTACAGATGAGCAGCGCAGGTGGAACTCAGGGACGTCAAAGAATCTTCGAAAGGCTATGACAAGCTGTCTCTCTGTTGTGAGAGAACGTGGCTGTGTGCCATTTGTGTTCAGCAGGGTACAGATATTGGTCCTCCTGCTGTTCATATTAGCCTGTTGAACTGACTTTCAATTGTGTACCGCTGTTTTGGTAAGTATTTGCTTGTGTTGAGCTGACAGACTAAGCTAACAGGTGTTTATTGGAATGCTATTAAGGAGGGCAGTGCTCCCGCCGCCATTCCTTTTGTATAATAATCTTTAAGCGGTAGCGCCTCCGCTCTAGCTGATTTTGTTTTGTGTTTGCTTAGTTGACCAGCCAAGTATTTATTCTGGCTGTTAATTTTGTTTGTGGAGGCAGTGCTCTCGCTGCTGTTCCCAGCGTGTGATGAGCTGTGGTAGTTTTTGTTTTACAGTTAAGGGCAAGAAGGTTCTTGGCTAATAATCATAGAAATAAGTAATAAGATAAGCGCAACACTGGGCCTTGTGTTTTGGTTGTTTGAATCTGTTTGTAAGCAACCTAGGGTTGGTGGCAGTGCTCTTGCTCCCCGTTCCCAAAATGAGGTAGGGTGTACTTTGTATCTGCTCATACCACAGTCAGACAGCATTTCCGCTGGGTCTGACTTGGTGGCATTGGGTATTGATGGTAACTTTTACTGGCTTAGGTGGTGCTTTGACCTCCGCTCCCAGTGTACATAAAGTATCCTCTACTCATGTATCCGCAATTACCACAATGTTGACACCCCATTATTGTGGTGCTTGCATGGCCCCTCTTCAGCCAGATGATGGCCACAAGCATTGCCCATCTTGTCTCAGCCTTGAACACTTGAGGGAGGGCAACACCCTTGCATGAATTGCAGCTTCATGCCCCAGGCGTTACGGATCACTAGGCTGGCGGAAGCGGAGCAGTCGCTCACTAAGGAGAGTCTTCCCTGACCCTCGGTCCTGGTGTTAAGACAGAGGACACTGGCATAGGCTCTATAAGGGCTACTGTCCACATGGCCCTAGCTCTTCTGCAGCTGGACATGCCATCTGAACTGGCACCTGTTAGCACCTTTTTTCGACACAGGCCAGCCACTACTGCCTTTACTGTTCCCCCCTCAGAGTAGTATTTGAGGGAGCTGCAAGCATGCTGGTAGGACACTAAAAGGCACTCCCATCTTATTTCGGATGGCAGGTCCTTTGCTGCTATGCAAGATGCAGCAAAGTTTGGCCTGGATCGCATGCCAGCTATTGAGCCATTGCATCCCTCATAGTGCCCCCTGATGAAGCTCTGAGACCGGATGCCAGGTGTCCTCGACCCCAGTGTCGGGTCA